CCTCCCAGCACAGCCCCAGGCTGATGCAGGTGGACAAGCAAATGTATGGCGATGTTCACTAGCTTTGAGATGGCGTTAACACTGGCCTCTGCCTCTGCTGGGATCTGGGATTTCTGTGGAACTTGTCTGTTTTCGGCTCACTGCACTTGCATTCTTTCTTGAACTGTCCATTGTTCTCGCCAGAGAGCTCAGGAGCCAAAATTGAGTCAGTCGCCCAGGGTCTTCAGAACTCTGAGATGTGGTTATGCAGGAAGGTGCCAAGTATTTGGAGTGGAGCTTCTTAGAGGTACTTGCTGGGTTCTTTCAGAGCATTATTTTGTCCCCTTTTTGTTTTCTCTTTAGGAAACACCACTTTATTCCCCTGCTTCATGGCTGAGACAAAAAGCTGTGGCACTCCAGAGTGCCCCTGTCCCTTGGTGGATGGTCCTTCACTGTTGGGAGCATAAGAAGTTGCGTCTCCACGGATGTGTCTTCCTCTCTACCTTCTCACTTCTACCCCTAAGCTAGCTATCTCTGTAGGCTCTTTCAAAAATCAGTCACACTCACAAATATGCAACCCCAGCCAGAGGTTTACAATTTTTAAAATCTTTATGGCTTAAAAAGAAAGATTTCTGGTTTAGTTTGTCCTGCTCAGCCTTGAAGCATCATCATTGGTAAGCATACCATTATTCTCAGCATTGTGGTGGCAGAGAGGATTGATTCTAGAGACTTGAGCAGTAGGATTTAGCATTGTTAGGTAGCTCAGACATATCAGAAAGTCCATAGTGGCCTGAGTTTTAAATCCAAAGCATCTTTTTTGCTTGAGACCCTAGGACTTTGGAGTTTTTCCTGAGACCAGAGACCAGGGCTGGATGTGCTTATGCTGTGAGTCAAGTGGAACATTGCTCAGAGGAGCAGAGGCCTTTGGAGAGATGGCAGCTTTGTCGGCCTTGGCAACTGAGCCTCTGAACCCACTGCCTCTGAACCAGCAGACCTGTGCTCTTGGGCTTACCTCTAGTCTCCTGCCTGCCGACACTAGCCTCTCCTCTCTGGCAGTGTATTATATTATGGACCAGCTCAGCTCCTTTGTTGACCAGGCGTATAAATCACGGCTGGACATACTATACTGAACCATCCCTTCCTCAGGATACCAGGATGCAGAGAGAAGCCCAGGGCCATTCCACTGAGCCCCAAAATGAGAGGGCTGCCATGACATTTCTCATTTTATTGTTCTACAAGTAAACTATATAGGTAGAGAGTCTTTCTTTCCTCCAGCACTCTGAAGAACCCTGCCCCTGTGCACACTGGCAAAGACTTCATCCACTTGTCAGCACAGCCCTCTCAACTCCACACTCAGCAGGGATGCACAAAGATTGCTAAAATAGGATGGGATGCAGCTTCTCAATTTTCTATTACCTTCCTACCAGAGGGAAAAGTAATGTGAACTTAAATGTCTTTTGGAACAAACCAAAGTTTAAGATTTGCCATATGATGGAGTGACAGGGAAGCCCAGAGTCGGCAAGCAGGCACCAGGCTTTCTGTCCTGTTGGCCAGTGCTTTGCCAGGTGCAGGATGCTGTGGAGTCACTAAAGCCACAGGTGCAGGTTGATTTCTTGGTTCCATGCATTGTAACAGTAAGAATTGGAGCACTAACTTGAAATTGTCTTCAAGGACTTGCTGCGTGCACTTTTCACACCAGTACATTCTTCTGCATCTGTTTATATGGAATAACAAGCTAATCTGTACCTTTATGTGTGTGTGTGTATGTGTGTGTGTGTGTGTATACATATATACATGTATAAACTGTATAGTGTACATGTTAATGATTTATCAGTGTGGCCCCAGTTTTAAGTGCCCTCAGCTGTGATCTGGTGACTTCCTGTCCCCTGGAGGTTCTGCCACTTCCTGGTGTTTTGAGCCTCCAGGGAGGAGGGTTTGGGCTGCATTATCCTTATCCTCGTGCACAGAAATGCTCAGGGTCCCCACGTGCCTGTTGTCTACCCCTGTTGTCCTTTGTTCCCTTTCTGAGCATGTGGCCCCTCCCCCTGGCTGTGAGGGGCAGCTGCCTTCCTGGGAAAGTGTAAAGCAGGATCGTGACCACCACTGCATGTACACTGAAAACTCCAGACTTCTGCCCGCTTGGGACAGAACATTGCATGTGAGGTGGGATTATCAAGTTTCAAAGACCTGTGTCAATTATACAGCAAAGCCAGACCCCATAATGAAATCCCACAAAATGGAAATAAAACGCAAAATTTCTTTAGCATTGTGTAAATAAATCTGGATGTGTTTAACTTTGTACTGGTAATTTTCTGTATATTTGCAATATTTGGGTTAGAAATAAAACAGCCTGGACTTTGGTACCTAACCTACTAAGATGAGTAAGCTACGGTTTCTTAGAGTTTTCTAGCTTTCTACCTTCAAAACTCCAGCAACCAGAGAAACATCGTTAGATGCTTCTAGCTTGAAGCTAGCTAGTGCACTTCTAGCTTGAAAGTAGTGGATACTTTAAGGAAATGACTTGCAAACGAATGGGTTGCTTGCCCAAAGTTTTCTAATTTTCTTGATCTTTCTGCTTATCAAGATCTGCCTCCCACTTGTGCATAGGGCCATCTCTCCTGTCACTTGCTGGGGAGCCCAACAGCCCACCACACACTTTCTCCAGTGTCTGTTTCTACACTTCTGGACACAACAACATATGGTTACACTCCCAAATAGTGTGTTCCCTGGGATGGCTTTGTCACGTGCACACTAGAAGGTCATCTGTGGCTGTTTCCCGTGTTCTGTCATCCCACGCTCCTCTCCGTCCTTCAGAGTTTCAGCATCCTCATTGCCAAACATTGCCTGAAAGGGCTTCTTGCTCTCCTGCCTTCAGCCACTAGCCATCCCCCTTACTGTGGGGTAGCATTTTGAGCCAATATTTCCACTCACTGCTCCCACATCTTGATCTGGATAGCCAGGGCACAGGCCTTGATTTGAAGGGGCCACCTTTGGGCAGGAGTTTGTGTAAAGATTAAATCTAGCCTGCACCAAAAAGCCCACCCTACCCTAAAATTGATGGTAATCCTTATACCTCTACCACCAGAGTACTGGGATTACAAGTGACAGCCACTGCCCAGGTGTGATTTGGACCTTGTGATGGGCAGACCGGAGGAGTCTCTATTTTTAAGTTTGATTCTTTATACATGCTTTACATATGAGGGACCAAAAACGGGGGGGGGGGGTCTAACGCTATAGAGTCTTAGATTACTTTTTCCATAAAAACATGGCTAAATATGGAATAAAGGGGGGCCTAAGCAGGGGAGGGCAGTCAGTAGCATGCTTTCCATACAAACACAGGACTTGTGCTAGGTCCTCAAGCCCATTTAACAATCTCATGCACAGACAGGAAGGTCCCTGAGGCTCACCAACCAGCCAGCCCCGCCTGGACAATGGGCCCCAGGTCACAGCAGATCTTCTCTCAACAAACTATGGGGCCATTGCAATGGCTCGGAGGGTAAATATGCCTGCCACCAAACCCAAGTTCAAGCCTGGGGACTCAAAAGATGGGAGGAGACAATTGGGTCCTGACAGTTGTGCTCTGACCCTCAAGTGTGGATGCAGATGACTCAGCAGAGAAGACCTGGGTCTGGTTCCCAGCACCCACATGGCAACTCACTTAGTCCCAGAAGATCTGGCCCCCTCTTTCTGGCCTTGAGAGGCACCAGGGATGCACATGTGAAGACCTACATGCAAAAACGCTGACACACACAAATAAAGGGAAAATGAAATGGATACAGGCCTGCTGGCCCGAGTTAGGAAAAGGGGGTGTGATAGGAAACCAAATAAAATGGCTGCAGCAGAATGGCAGGCTGCAACTGGAAACCAGCAGACTTTGGGTGTAGCCAGCACTGACCATGAGTTGGCCTTGACCCTGCATTTTTATCATATCCCAAGCACAGCCCTGGCATCAGCCTCTTGTTACACAGATCTGAGGTTCAGAGCCATCAGCTGGTGGCTAAACGGCACAGCCAGATGTCACATGTCCCTGTCCCTGGGAAGCTTTCCTCCCATTCCTCCCAGTACCAGGCTGCCTCTCACTTCATTTGTGCTTTATCTCATAGGAAGAAAGCCATTGACAGCTTTCAAAGGGGGAAATGCTGGTCTGACCTAAAAATAGCTTCCATTTATCCAGCACTTAGTCAGCTACACACTGCTAAACACTTTAGAGAGATTACCTCTTCTAATCCTCCTAACCCTATGGTTATTATTATCTCCATTTCAAGAATGAAACCCAACTTAGGAGAGGCTGGGGGTGGGGAGCTGGAGGAGGGCTTGCCTAGCAAGTGCAAGGCCCTGGGTTCAAGCCCCAACACACACACACACACACACACACACACGCACACACATACACGCACGCACATACACGCACGCACATACACGCATGCACATACACGCACGCATGCACGCATAGACACACGGGAGGGGAGGTAGGAGACAAGCCCCAATACACACATACACAGAGGGGCAGACAGACCATGGGGTGTCTTAAGTCACATAGTTAGCTGATGACAGAGCTCAAGTGTAACCAATGTAGTCTGGCTGCAGAGTACTGACTGTCCTCATCCTTGTCCTGCCCTGCCCTGCCCTTGGGGCAGGGACAGCAAAGGGAGGCCCCATGAAGGCCAAGGTGTGGAGACCTGCTGTTCAGTGAGTGTGGGACCAGCTAAAGGTGTGCCCGAGAGCTCACTGGCCTTGGGACCACACGTTCTGCTGAATTAGCTGGCGGTCAGGCGCAGAAGGGATCACTCAGGCCTCCCACCAAAGTCCCTCTCATATACTCGGTGCTCAAGCTCTCCCCTCCTAATGCTGTAGGGGTGTCATCTCACTCCCAAGATAACAGGGCCACCTCAGCCCCCCTCCTGTGGCTATTCTGGGCTGTTCTCTGATCCTCTTCCCCTGGCCCCTACTTCACCCTTCAGTGGGAGTAGGTGGGTGGGGAAAAGCCAGCCCACTTACATAAGCTTGTGGCTGCGGACCCCAGGGAGACCAGCCTAGATAGCAGGTGCTCGGCCCCTCCCTCACCAGCAACAAAGAAAATCTTCAGCTGGAGCCCAGCATGGAGACAGCCACCACACTGGAGATGGCCTCATGTTCCCAGCGGCAGGTAGAAGCAGCTGCTGACCCAGCGGATGCTGACGGACCCCGGGAGGTAGACAGCACCTCTCAGCAGCTCCTGCCTGCTATTGAAGGTGACCTATGGCAATCGGGGAAGGAGGGGATGCTGAGTAGTGTGGGAGGGAGAACTTCCTACTGCCCTGAAAAGACTGTAAGGGTCCACCCACCCTGTGTGCAGGCTTTAAGAACTTTAAGGAACTGCTACTTAGGGTAATACAGGAATATTCCTGGGAGCCCTCACACTCCTCCTCAAACTGTGACTTGCTAACTCGAACATCTCTGTTGTGGGCTTGCTCTTTAGCTGGAAAGTCAGTGGATGTTGTGGCACTTTACGGTGACTAGCAATGATCCGGTTATATTTTTACCATCAAAACCAGTTGCAGGGCCCGGGAAGACCCAGTGGACTAATAGCCAATTAGAAAGAGAACGGGGTGGGAGGGTGGGGGCGAGATAGCAGACATTGCTAGTGGAAGAAACCATGGCTCTGAGGAGGCTGAGTACCCTGGATGGTCTCTGCCTGGGTGGTCCTGAGACAGCATCAGGGTCTGCCTATCCTAGTATCCCACACTAGCTCATCTGGCCATGGCCTCTCAAAGTCAGAGCTCTGTGGAAGTAGAGTCTTTTAGGGAAAAGTTCTCCATTTCCACTTTGTACATGAGGTTATTTGGTGCCTGTTCCAGCCCCATTATCCTGCTCTTTGACCCAGTACCAACTGTTCTGGCTGAGCCCCTCCCCCAGCTCACCTGGGGAACTGCCGGGAGGCCAGTGAAAGTATGTCTCCATTGTGCCTGGGTTGGCAGACCCAGGACATGACAAATGGCTCTTCCCTTCTTCGTGATGGTCTTTAGCAGCCCTGTGGCTGTACTAAACATTTAGCCCAACAGACACCCTGTGTTATAGTCCCTTCAATTTGCAGAAGATTTGAAGACCATACACAAGGAATCTATGAACTCCCAGGAAGAGAAGAAGTAGAAGAAAAAAAGAAAAAGTTCTAGACTGGCAGGCAAAGTCCCAGGCTCCTTTCCCAGGGTAACCTCTAGCACTATAGTGACCTTGGACAAGTCAATTTAACTGCTCTGGTTCAGTTCTCTGCAAAATGACTTTAAAGATCCAAGCAAGACAGTTAGAGGGGTCGCCAAGGTGATCTGATTTGCATTGGAAGAGGCTAAACCAACGTGAGAACATTTCCAACGAAGAGATGACAACTTCTATCTCCAAATAGGGCCCGAAAGCAGAACTGCCCACTCTTTACCTTACAGAAGACCCTAATAGCAGCTGCCTGAATGTCTGCCAAGGGCAGAGAGTTGGAGTTTAATCTTATTAAAGAAGTAGGAGAGTTGCTGTGCACATACTAAGATGAGACAAGAACAGAAACCCAGTTTCTTCCCCTAAAAGGCCAAGAGAAAACTGGGGCAGAGGAGATGGAGAGCCAGAACACTGACTCCCTGACTCTGCTGGTCTCCACTCTGCAGGGCAGAGCACCCATCTCAACCAGGCTTCCCCTTCTGCTCAGGGGCACCGTGGGCAGCTCACTCTGGCAATCCCTGCCCTCCCCAACCCCAGATCCAGCCAGGAGCCCCATCCTCTTGTTGTATAGCAACTCTGTGTACTCATGTCTCTGGACCACAGCTAGTGCACTGCTCCACACAGAGGTGAGTGGCTTGAAGGATGCCCTTTGACACATTGCAAAGTCTATATGCATCTACTAGCTTCTTGAAAGATGACAACACAAGTTCAAGTCATAGCTCTATCCTGCCACCATGGAAGAGGCAGGGCATCTCTGAGCCTTCATTGTCTCCTCTGGAGATTGAGAAAGCTGAACTTGAGCGATATCCTATCCCCTTGATTGTTCCCCGCTCTCCCCCCCTACACACACACACACACACACACACACACACACACACACACACACACACACACCGGGAAGCCTGAAAAAAAAAAAAAAAAAAAAAAAAAAAGCCCTGGAAAGAGAAACCAAAAAAGTTCCTGAAGTTGACAGGGTCTCTGAAACCCATCCAGCAATCTTGAAGGATACCTGTGTATCCTTCATAGAGGGCACAGGGTCTGAGAGGTGCTGCAAAGAGCATATGACAGCAAGGCCAGCCAAGTGGGCAGAAATTCATTAGCACAATCAGGGCAGGCTACAACTGAGCAACCAATAAGGGACCTTCAGTCCAACTACATGGCCAAATCAACAGGATGACGCAGCTGGATCTATCACTGTTTATCCTCAGCGCCCAGAGGTAGTGTCCAGGAGATGAGCTAAAAGGAAAGCTAGAGAAGTGGATACACCCCTGAGTTGGAGGAGCTGGGCCCCGAGACAGAGGTCAGCTGCTAATTTCAACAGAGCTGCTCTACTCCGAGCGAGTGTGCACCTGCATCCCATCTGAACCTCCCAGTGTCTTCTAGGCATGGGAGCCGATCTCACACCCAGGAGTAGTCAGCCTGCCTACGTGTGCTTTTCTTCCTCTTCCTACAAATATTGACTTCCCTACCTGTTATATGCACAAAAATAAACACAACTAGTTAGAAAGACACCTTCAAGGTATATTCTAGTAGAAGGAAAAGAGAAAAACAAATAAAAGATAGTGTGGGTCAGATGGTGCCAGAAGTAACCCAGGGAAGGAGTCCCAGTGCTGGGGAGAAGAGGCAAGCAAATGTCATGTTCCCAATAGGGTGATGAGCAAAGCCTTACAAACAGGGTATGACTTGAGCAGCAACATAATAGATATCTAAGTGAAATATTTTTTTTTTATTTCAGCAGATAGAACAAATGCAAAGGTCCTAAGGCAGGAATGTACTTTATGGGTTAAGCAATGCTAGGACTGAGGGACAGAGAGTTATTGAGCCAAAGCACCATGAAGGATGGATTGATTCTGGGGTGATGGGCAGCATTTTGAATAGAACTGACATTTGACCAAGTGGTGGGTTTAGGGATTTTTTTTGAGGTACCGTGTTAAGAAAAGACAGTGGGTATTTCTTAGACACGAGGAAGAGCATCTGCTGACAAGAAAGACGGGCAACAGATGGAGTGCGCTGTGGATGTGGGATAGAACTATCAGAATCATCAAGAACAGCAGTGGTACAAGCCTTTAATACCAGTACTTGAATCTGAGTTCAAAACCAGCCTGTTCTACATAATGAGGCAGTGTCTCAAAAAAAAAAAAAAAAAAATTAAAGTCCATCTGGAGCAGCATCATTCCAGTCAAATCAGCGTTTTTTTTTAATTGCTTACATAACCAGAATCATTTACTTACTGCTATTCACACTTCACATTTGGATTTTCAGGGGCTGAGGGAATTCATGGAAGGAAAGGACTATCATGCCCCCTTTCGAATGTGTCAGGTCTCATACATACATCACTGTATTAATCTGTCAAGAATTTCATACACGTATACATTGTACTCTGATGGCAAGTCAGCAAAGATTGTTTTCCCCTACATGCTTGTCTGTGCATAGCCAGACATTGTGTGGGTGGCAGGGTTATTTAACTGGGTTAGGCACCGCCAAGAGGGTGTAACGACGCGAAAAACCACGGAAGGAGCTGGGTGGTTATGCAAGGAATTGGGTGTTATGACCTTGAACTCAGGCTGGTGGGGAAGAGCGTGATAGGCAATATGGGATGGGTGTAGGGTGGGACAACACGTCTCAGTAGTGAGACACAATTGCCGTATGACAGCATTCAGGATGAAAGGCATCAGTATAGTTGGGGGTAGGCAGCTGATGAAGCAAGTACACCTCAGGAAAAGTGTGAGCTTCTCATTGCCAGGACAAACTGAAAATAATGTCCCTATTAGGTAGATTGTTCTCCCAAAGCAATTCAGGGACAATGGCCTTTTCCCGATAGGGGCTTTGCTACTTGAGGAGCCCTATGATCAATGCCTACAGATAGAACTTGTGGGGGGGTAGGGTCACAGAACAGTCTTACAAGCAAGCCCTGGCACTGGAGTAATTCCCACCCTTTCTACTCACATTTCATTGGAGAGACTTATAGTGCCCAGTCTACAGCAACAGCACTGGAAACTGTCCTGACGGGGCAGGCACTGCTCAGATGTACTGTGACATCCATCAGGTAACATCAGAGTTGGTGGTCACGGAGCTAGCTATCTTTGTTAAAGAGGTGAGGAGAGAGCGCAACACTCTACAGATCATGGAAAGGTTGCGGTTTCAGGGGCTGGGGCTGAAGTGGGCATTGAATTGGTAAGTGTCAGGTCCAAAAGAAACTAAGATCAAATGGCTAACTGCAATTCCCATTAGCATACCTAGGAGGTACCATATCAGACATCCATGTCTGCTGGTCGCCAGGCTCTCTTAGTACCTGTGGCTCCTTCTCAGCTTTTCTCACCCAGCCCCCTGCCCTGCCCTCAACTTCTCTAGCTCATGGGCTTCCCATTCCTATATAACCCTGCCAATTCAGCCATGCTCTTTCTTGGTTCTCTTGGCCCCTCTCTCTCAGTCCTCCTCTCTCCTCTCATGGCCAGGTTCAGTCATGTTTAGCCCACTACTTTCTCTGCCCTGCTCTGCACTCTTCCAGATGCCTCTGGCTGTTCTCTTCAGATCTACAACAAAGACCTTCTCCTCAACCATACCTTGGAGCTGTCATGTCCTCACTCCATATATCTGGGGCTGTAACTCTCACTTTATAGAGTGAGCCAGGGTATGAGAGGATCTGCAGGGGCTGGAAGGGCAGACATTGACATCACTAGGACTTATGAGTGGAGCAATGTTGAAGACAGAAGCGGTGAGCAGGGGCCAAGGCCACCAACCATGACAGCAAGACAGACAAGGGATGAAGGGTCTATCACAGAGAACTGTTATTTCTGCTTCTCTATCCTTTTGGTTTTCATAATGTTGCTTTCATAGTCTTCAAGGAGGGGACACTGTTGTCCTTTACAAGGAGATTTTTTCCAAGGTCTACCCATCCTTCCTAACCACACTCTACCAAAAAGGTTTCTAAGGCTACACCTTGGGTAGCAATAAATGTTTCTCTAAGAGAGTCAGATACTTACTTCTCAAATCCCTGGAAATATTTACTTTCAAATTCACAGTTGCCTTTGAACTTTCTGCCCTTGTTTTGGTAACCACTTACTCACACAGGCATATGTTTATGTGTGTATGCGTGCACACTTGCAAATTTACACACTTACACACACACACACACACACACACACACACACACACACACACACCACTCTCCAATGTATCTGCTCTTTTCTCCTCTCTCCAGGCCATAGTTAGTAGCAATGTCTGAACCACACAATCTCAGGAGAGTGCTAGAGCAGTCTGACCACATGGAAGGAAATTATCAGAGGATATGGCCAATTATTTCCTATGAGGATAGAAAAAAAAAAGAGCATGAACTTCAGCAGATTAAAATTGGGGTAGATAGTAAGATAGCCAAGATCTTAGGACTCAAAATAAGCTACAATTTTGAGACTTAGACTATGTTCTATTGTAGAGAAAATGCTGAGAGAAGCCTAGCTCAGAAGTCAATGTTTCCCAAAGGAAATTTCAAAATGCCTTCCCCACAGGGATACCAAGAGAGAAAACCAAACTGCAGCCATTGGCCCTGGCCTAAGAACACTGAGACCGCCTTAAAGCACGCTGGCTTCTGAGTGAGTCAGTTGCTTCCTGACTTCTGAGGAGGAAAAGCCCTTGGGTGTGGTGGGGAAACCTCCCCAAGGTCAGTCCAATTTACACCTCCCTTGACTAGAGGTGTGAAGAGAGATACTTCCAAGGAGCCCTCAGTTAACACTCCTGAGCAACTGCTCAGGTTGCTGACCAGGTTGAATAAGGGAGGTGACAGAACTCAATGCTGACAGGGCACCCCTTGCTGCCAGACCCTCTCTACTAACCAGCATTCGGTTGCTCTCAAGGCCATTTGTGGCTTCTCCCTAGGGAGTTTCTTTATCTCTTCACCCTGAGAGTCAGGGACATCCTGGTGACTTCAATCCAGTCATCTTGCCAGGGACTCCTTATAAACCAAGAGCAGCAAGAAGCCCTCCAAGGGGGGTCAGCATCTCCACAGTGGCTTCCTGTGGCCTCTGTCCCCTTGCTGCCCCAGGGGGCTCCCCTTGAGACCTCAAAGTCTGCTCTGCAAATCCTCCCAGCTCTGCACACCTGAGCTTATGCTCCTTTCTCTCTCGAGTGTGGGTGAAAGAAAGCAAACATTTTCTGAGATATATCTGTAAGAAATAAGAAATGCCAGATAGAGGAGAGATGGCTCAATGGTTAAGAACACCGACTGCTCCTCTGGAAGACCTAGGTTCAATTCCAAGCAACCACATGGCAGCTCACAACTGTCTGTAATTCCAAGATCAGACACAGACGCACATTCAGGCAAAACACCAATGCACATAAAATAATTTTAATTTTTTTAAAAAAAGAAGAAAGAAATGCCAGGTAGAAACAGACATTAGTTTGCATCAATCAGTAGAAGTTCAGACCTGGTCATGAACAGAAACCTGGTAAAGTTCCCTCTGTTAAGTGTCTCTCAGCATGAAGGCTGGTTTCTACCCCCTCAACTCAACCCTTCTTGGTTCTTGAACCTACCTTCCCCGATTCCTCTGGGTTGCTGGAGATCATACCAGGCCCTGACTCTGGCATGTTGGCCTAGGGAGACACTGATGAGGGTGAGACACTGGATGATGAGCTATGCTTAGAAAATGGGTCCTTTGGACATCTGATCCCAGCTAGGGAGGCTGGAGTCCCGGCCAGGTGCCAGGCACAACTCCACAGCTAGCCTGGCGCTCAGCACATCAGTCTCTTCCAGCCTCCCCTTCTCCTGTTGCCTGTATTGCTGGGTCCTCACTAAGATCTTTTGTAACTCCCATACCCTGTAGACAGCACAGGCACAGAGGAGCCTGTTCCTTAGCAAGTATGAAAGGTTATTTCCTTGCCCAACAATGGAAACCAAGGCCAACAAGATGAGGATTTTTTTTTTAACCTTCCTTTTCAATTGCTTCCCTCCTTAAAATTCATGTCTGCCTTGGTTGCTTGCCAAGTTGGCCACAGGAAAGGAATGCATCATACAAATACAACACTTCTGTTGTTCCCACCCCAGCCCCTGGCACCAAAGGCAGCAGAGAGCACACAGAGCAAGGTCACTGGGCAGTCTGGGTGCCATGCCTGCCCTGTTCCTGCTGAGAACACTCATGTCCACTTAGCACACAATTTCCAAGGTACAGACCAAATCAGGTCCAACCCAGGGGAGAACAGCAAAACAAGGGAACTAGATAAACAAGATGGTCAACAAGTATTGCGTATTTATATTCACTTCTTTGTTTGCTTTGTTTTTTGAGACAGGGTTTCTCTGTGTAGCTCTGGCTGTCTTGGAACTCACTCTTTAGACCAGGCTGGCCTCGAACTCACAGAGATCCGCCTGCCTCTGCCTCCTGAGTGCTGGGATTAAAGGTGTGTGCTACCACTGCCTAGATTTATATTAAGTTCTAAAGACAAGTGGTTTGAGATCATAATTGAGGCATACAAAGAACACTGTAGGACCCCTGTCTATTTTCTCTTAGCTCTCCTTTAAAGGGTTGCTTTATACCATGTATGCATTTAAACTGGTCAATCTATAAGCAAACATACTTGTGTTGGGATGAATGCACAGGAATGTACTCTCAGGGAAATTTGTACTATCAGCAAACTTGGAAAGCCTTGTCAAGCTGCACTCATGCCACAGGAATGCACCAGAGGTGGAATTTCTTCAGCTACTAGGAATGAATTTTGGCAAGAAGTCTTGGGAACTGAGGCATTGTGGCATTCTACTTAAGGTAGAAGCAGCAGGGGACTGCGTTTGAGAAGTGGGAGACAGCAACCCTGGAAAGGTAGGAGGAAAAGATGGCCCTCATGTGAGCCAGGTGGGATGTCTACACTTTCTCAGCATCCTCCCGAGAACAGGACATCCAGGCTCCAAACCCTGCAGCCCCCTGAGCACTGCTTGCCTGCATCCTGAAAGGCAACCAAAGACCACTTACTGGAGCATGCCTGGAGAGCAAAGGCAAGTAAGGAATGCCCCCAATCTTCCCCAGAGTTTGCTGTCTGAAGTGATCCAACACTGATGGGAAGAATGCCACACAGTGTAGGGAGCAGGGTGGCCGTGAAGAGAAGGGACCCAGACTGCCTCTGTGGGAGGACGGGGCTTGGACTGGGAGATGATTCACTTTGACAGCAATGCTATTAAGGACCAAGCGAAAAATCACTGCAGAGACAAGCTGTGAAGACTGAAAGGAATAAAACTCACTCAATAGGTGGAAAGCCGGTGGTTGAGAGTTACAAATCAAAACAAGGATCAGATTCAGAGCCCAGGTTTTGGGGGAGGCGACGGTTCTCCAGTTGAGGCAAAGCCTCACCACGCTGTTCATCCTGCCTCACTTCCTAGGTGCTGAGATCATAGGTGGGCACCACCACATCCAGCTCCCAGGGGCCTCCAGAGACTTTAGCCTTTCCTGGGGCTCCTTCAGCCAACTGCTCCCCAAATCCCAGCACAACAATGGGAAGGGTGAGGGTGTATAGCTTAATGATAGAGCCCTACAGTGATGCGATTGCTGGCTTTGATTCCCAGCACAATGGAAGGGTCTAGGGGCATTCCCTATGATAGGGGCTTAAACTGATGTTCACTTGGACTACTACTCACAGAGTACTACTAGATGCAGCACCCACTTCCTCTAAGTATCCATTTCCTATTCTCTTTTTATCACTCAGAGTACCCCAAGATCTGGCTACCTCGGGCCCTGAGACAGACTTACATCCGGAAGGTTGGGGACACAGTGAATCTACTAATCCCAATCCAGGTGATCACATCAGCCCCATGCTGGGACCAGATCAGGATTTTGACTTGGAAGCAGAACTAGGACTCAGACAGTCTTTCTGGCCTTGAGTGAAAAGAACCCATGGTACTGGAGGTCTGAGGCCAGATCACCACCATTCCACACTCCCAGGGTTGGGTTTAGCTAAACAGATATGTCCCATGAGAGGAGGTAAGGCTAAGCCAGGCTCTGCAGTCTGCAGAGGTCTGGGCACCCTTGCTTTTAGAGAGTTCTTAGGAGTTTGAGCAGCTACTCAGCTACCTCGCTACCCTGAGTACCCATGAAAGACTCAAAGCTCCCTATTTCTTAATGAAAGGAGGGATTTCCCTGGAGGAGTCTACCAACACACGCACACACACATGCAAGAATGCACATGCTACCTTAAGGAATGCAGCTCCATATCAAGATACCCTGTGGGTCTGGGGTAGACAGCCTGCAGCAACAGGAGGAGTGTGTGTGTGCATATATGAGCCTCTTGAGGATGCTCAAGCCTTATCCCCCACTACTCAGGGCAAGCCCAAACCTCAAACCACCTGGACTCACAATGGCTCTGCCCTGGACCACAGTCGTGTGAGTGTGCGGAACGGGGAGCAGGACTCCATCCTTTTCATCAGAGAAGCCCAACGAGCTGATTCAGGATGCTACCAACTCTGTGTGCAGATAGGTGGGCTGCAGGCCACGGCCACCATCAATATCATGGTGATTGGTAAGTCTGGGCAATGGGAGAGGTGGTCTCTAGGATCTCTGGGATGAACAGAAGCCATCCCAGAGAGTTGCTGACCTGGTGGTAGGTGATGGGAGGGATCTGAACAGAGAAAGGAGCCAGGGTGTTCTCTAAGTGAGACCAACACATGCGGATTGCACGGTGCCCATTGCCATGGCTTTGCCCTTCCAGAGAAGCCAGGCCCTCCTCAGAGTATTAAGTTGGTGGATGTTTGGGGCTCCAATGCTACTCTGGAATGGACACCTCCACAAGACACGGGCAATGCAGCACTCCTGGGCTACACGGTGCAGAAGGCTGACAGAAAGTCTGGGGTGAGGCCCATCTGGGGAGAAGGGAGGGAGGCGTTCTAGAATGATCTTCTGGCAGCTCCACATGGGGTGAGGTTCAAAAAGAAAGAGAAAGAAAAGAAAACCCCAAAGCCTTGGTGTCTCACACATCACATCTCCCGGGGCCCCCACAGCTGTGGTTCACGGTACTGGAGCGCTATCGCCGCACTAGCTGCCTTGTCTCTGACCTCATCGTTGGCAACTCCTATGCCTTTCGTGTCTTTGCCGAGAACCAGTGTGGGCTCAGTGAAACAGCTCCTGTCACAACTGACCTTGCCTACATCCAGAAAGCAGGTAAGGAAGCTGAGATCACGGGCTGAGAAGACTTAGAAAAAACCAGAACTGAAGCTGGACGAGGTTCTCAGATGCCACGTCAGGGTAACTCTTGGTACCCACAGCTACTGCTTACAAGACCAAGGGGTTTGCCCAGCGGGACCTCTCGGAAGCCCCCAGGTTCACCCAGCCTCTGGTAGACTGCACTACAATCACTGGCTACGACGCCCAGCTCTTCTGCTGTGTGCGCGCCTCTCCCAGGGTGAGTGGGGAGCTTGGGGGATGGGGTGTCCTGAGCTGCCTCCTGCGGCTGTACCATCCTAACCTGCACTATGTCACAGGGCACTCTAACTAAACATCTGCTACCAGTGCCACCATCTGCCTCCCCCGACAGCAGGTTACTTAGGAACTGTCAGGGTGTCTGTAATCCAAGATGGATGGATGCAAATGATGTTTCCTTCGAGTGTGGGGTCCTTGTGCACAAAGACATCACTTACAGCTAGTTAACTGGCAGTAGTGTCCCACCGGCTTCTCTTTATTTACTCCTCATGCCTTGTCTGTGCAGGGTTACACACATGCACGCTGCCCTGCATGCAATCTGGTCTTTGGACTCCACACCCGTAGCAGCCTTTACCAAGTAACTTGGCTTATAGGGGCAGGTCAGACTGTGTGGAGATAACATCTTGGAGAGGAATTATAATAAAACCACTCTAGAAACCACTTCCCAAACAGAGGGGACAGAAACCACTCACTCACAAACAGTGTGGATAGGATATGAATGGATCACAATATGTACATAAAAAAATGGAGATCCTGAGCTGGCAAGTGAGCTCAGAAGGTAAAAGTGCTTGCTCCCAAGCCTGACAGTCTGAGTTCAATCTCTGGGACCCACATGGTGGAAAGAACTCACAGCTTTAAGTTTTACTCTGATCTCTATGGTACCAGTGCAGCCTCTTCACACACACATGCACACACACACACACACACACACACACACACACACACACACACACACACGTTATTTAAAAAAAAAAAATTGAGACAGGGTTTCTCTCTGTAGCCTTGGCTGTCCTGGAAGTTCTGTAGACCAGACTAGCCTCACAAAAATCTGTCTCTGCCTCTGCTGGGATTAAAGACATGCATCACCACTGTCCGAGATATGTGTGTGTGTGTGAACACACACACACTTTTAAGTGGAACAGCTAGGTGTGGTAAGTATACCTTTAGTTCCAGAACTACAGAGGCAGAGGTAAACTCTTGAGTTTAAGGCTGGCCTAGCCTAGACTACATAGGGAGAACAGCAAAGGTTATATAGTGAGACCCTGTCTCAAAAAAAAAAAAATCTTTTAAATTTAAAAAGTAGACTTTGATGCCCAGACATAACAAATGATAGCTCCTTGAGCAATTTCTTCCAAGTCAGGGACATTTGTTGGAGTGGACTAGGGTTCAGTCACTCTATTCAAACACAAGAAGGCGCTCCAGCCATTGTTGAAGGTACTGAGCAGGGAAACTTGTAGAAAGCCATCTATAAGCCTTGTAGGCAGAGTCCCAGACATGGAGCACAGAAAGGACGATTGGCTCTTACTCTGCTCTGTGCATCTCATCTTTATCTTCCAGCCCAAGATCATCTGGCTAAAGAACAAGATGGATCTCCAAGGCAACCCCAAGTACAGAGCCCTCAGTCACCTGGGGGTCTGCTCCCTGGAGATCCGCAAGCCCAGTCCCTTTGATGGAGGCATCTACACTTGCAAGGCCATCAATGCTCTGGGGGAGGCATCCGTAGACTGTCGGGTGGATGTTAAAGGTAAAGATAGGAGAATTTGTGCCTAGGGTGCCAATCATCTCCTCCTTCCACCCTTCAAGAGTGATACAAGCTGAGATGGAAAGGTCCTCCCTTTGTATCAGTTACCTGTAGCAGTGACCAGATACCTAACAAGAAGCAACTCGATAAAGGACTTATTTGGCTCATGGTTCAAGGACATAGTCTGTCATGGCAGGGGCGACCACAATAGGGAAGGGGTGGTAGCAGGAGGAGGAACTGAGACTTCTTCCTCACATCTGGACACATCAGGAGGCAGAGAAAGATGAACACTGATTCTCATCATCGGTGTTTGCTTACTGGCTTTATTTTGCTTTCCCCTCTCACTTGCTGAGATAGCACTGCACACTCCTTCCCTTCCGCTCTTAAGATCTTCATTTCTCCTTTCCTGCTACTTTGTTGGAATCACTAAACCTAGCACATTATTGGGTTTTGCTGGGGGGGTTATTTTTTAATTATTATCTCTCTTTAGTCTTCAGATTCTCATACCTATATACAGTAAATATGATCATGTCATCCCAGCACATTATTTTGTAATTATCTATTTATAGATCTGTCTTCCAATTAAACCATAAGCTCTGTGAGAGTTTGTCCCAGTACCCAGCCTAGTTGCTGACACATGGGAAGGCTGTAGCTAAATGTTTGTTGCATGAATTGTGAATGAGTGAGCCTTTATATATCTCTCCTATAGATTCCCCAGCTAGCATCATGGGCACCCCCAAAGCATAAGTAGGGCATCCATTCCCAATGCCCTGAGAGAAGGTTCCACAGAAATCTCTGCAATGCTAATGTTGAGAAATGTCTGTTTTTGTAGCTCCTCATTAAGGCTGCCCTAAGAAGACAGGAAATTCAAGGAAGGTAAGGAAGGAGGGAAATGATGCCTCCATGGCAAATGCTGTTGAGTTTGGAATGGATGTGAACCTCTCAATCATGTGTCCCTGGTGACTTTTTTTTTTCTTAATTCTAACACTATCTGCTCTTTGGAGGGAGCTGCTATAGATAAAGTCTACTTTTGTCATATCCTGTGCATTTCTACTCAGGTCAAGGGATGAAATCTAACAAACTTTGGAGAATATGAGCTTCTTCCTAATCAGGGATTCTGTGGGAAGGGCTGGGTGGGGACTGTAAGACAAAAAGAGACCAGTCTCCACCAGCACAGACCCACACTGTAGGTAGGGACACTTCTGCTAAGTGTTTCTACCTCACTATCATAAGCAGGGTAAGAAACAAAGTAGCTTGTCCATATTCTTTTAAACTTTATGCATTTCTTCCTGTTCAACAGAAGAAAATCATTTTTGTTAAATGTCAACAATAATTTAACATTTGGGTATGTGGTTTCCAAGCCACTCATCACTGGCAAAGGGCCACTTGGTTCATTATCTAGAATGTGGCAGCTGCTTCAAATTCCCCATAATTCACAGGGGAAATGTGTATAAACTGATGGGTAAGTTGAAAGAAAAAGCTCATGAGAGAAGGACAGAGACCTAGCTCCCAACATTCCCTCTGACTTTCAGCTCCTGGCTGAAGAAAACTGAGCATGAATTCGATCCCCCAAGCCATTTATTTAAGCCCATCAATGATACATAGCAAATGAAAACCCTACGGGCTGCATTAAAAGCACACACTCTCCTCAGGAGAGCTTTCTCTGCCAGCTGGCTTATAGACATTTTTCTCCTTCCCCGCCTTCTCTATCAATACCATGTTGTGTGGGTGTCGATCTTTCTTATCCTTGGTTCCCTTCTGTCTCCCTGCGGGTTCTCAAAAGCAAAGCACTGTGGGCAGTGAATTTTGAGCACTGGACCCAGGGACCATGAAGAGAGATCGTCTCAGCACGGATGTACTCAGGTGGTCTTCTGTGATGTCTATTAACACACCCTCTCTTTACAGGGCCTCCTAGGAGCATGATTCTGACAAGAATGTTCTCAAGGAGCCTTAGCTGACTTGGCCTAAATGAAATAAACATATAGATCCTCAGTTCTTGAAATGTCCTCTGAGTCCTTTCTACATAGAGAACTCAGGACTGGGGAGGTGGCTGAGCAGTTAGGAGCACTGGCTGCTCTTGAGAAGACCTGGGTTCAGTTCCCAGCACCTATGTAATGTCTCACAACCACCTGTAACTTCAGTTCCAGGAGGTCAAATGCCCTCTTCTGGTCTCTGCAGGAACTAGCACACGTGCAGTACACATATATCCATGCAGGCAATTACACATACACATAAAATAAAGATAAAACAATTTTAAAGGTCCTCAATTCAAGATTCTTTTACTTTGATCTCTCAAGCATACCCAGCTCCTAAACCATTACTTCCTGAAGTGGCCTGTTACATACTAGATAACTGAGACCAAAGTGTTACGTAACAGGTAATTGTAGCTCAGTGGTAGAGCACTGAACTTTAGCAAATGCCCTGGTTCCTTCAGCGTGAAGGCCATGCTCTAGTGAGCATCTTTCTGAGAGGCCCTGGAGAGTCTATCCAATCATGCCAATCTAAGACTGAAACGCGGATGGGTAACAGTGAGAGTCAGCTCTGCAGTTGTCAGCAAAGGACAGGGTTCTCATCAGCTCTCAGGACCCTATTGGTACCTGAAGCTGAAGCTGCCTTCTATCTCTGTGGTGCACTGAGTTCCCAAGAACCTCAATGAATAGCTAAAGGGAGCGAGAGAAAGCAAGAACAGGAGCGTGTGTGAGAACAAGCGCAGGAATAGCCTTCCTCGCATCGGGAACTGAATGAAGTGATATCACCACATCTTCATGTTACAAATGAGAAGGTTAAGTTCACCAATGCCCAAGTCATGATCCAAACTCAATGGCAGAGCTGGGCATCTGACTACAGGCCTTCCCATTTTCTCTCATCAACTCAGAGGGTTGAAAACATGGGCTTAAAAGAGAAAATATTTTTTTTGAGGGTGGACATTGGGCCACATTTTGTTTTGTTTTTCGAGAAAGGGTTTCTCTGTGAAACAGCTCAGCTGTCCTGGAACTTCCTTTGTAGATCAGGCTGGCCTTGAACTCACTGAGATCCATCTGCTTCTACCTCCCAAGTGCTGGGATTAAAGGTGTGTGCCACCAACGCCTGGTTGCACCACATTTTTGAGAAGGAAAGGGATATAGATTGGTTGAGAAGAATCCAAAAGGTTTCCCCACACACACACACAAAACCCAAGAGCTGTCCTTTAACTGGAAGCTGAGTCTATTCCTGCCCTTCTCTAGACTTCTGTGAGAATTAAGCTCCCACATGATGATTCCTACCCTAAGTCATAAATCGGCTTCTTACCCAACTAAAAAGTTACTACTTACCTTCCGGCCTTGGGAAAACTGAGAAAACAATGAGCAAATCTAATGTCCTTATGGAACCCCTGTTTAAGATTGTAGGTGGGAACCAGGAATGTGGCTGTTGCTAAAAGCTCTTCCCTGGGAGAGACATAAAGCAGTGTCTACCCCTTTTTCTAAGGTCCCAGTGACAGACAACAGTGGGAGTCCGCCAGAGTGTACCCAGAGGAGCCAGCGAGCTTACTTGCAGAGCAGTGGCTGAAGGTTCCAGGCAGGAGCACAGATGACCTTAAAGTAGACACCTCCCTTAAAGGTCTGAGTCCACAAGAGATGATGGCTCTCCGTGGCTGCTAAAGAAATGCCCTCCTCTTCCCTCTCCCCACTTATATCCTGTAGCCCCTCCCCCAAACCACGTGCAATTAGGACAGAATTGCGTACAAGTGGTTGAAAGGGGTGGATTGAACTCAGGTGAGGGCCCCACGATCTTCTGGCCCTACCTCTTCCTTCTCTGAGGCAAAGTAAACTGTCCACAGGCCCAGCTGTGGTGATCTTTCCAAGCAGGCACAACAGAACTCCTGAAGATGGTGAGTCGGCTTAGGGAATAGTCCTATAGCGTAGTGGCACTGGCCTTTAATCACAACACTTGGGAGGTACAGTCATCCTTGGCCACATGATGAATTTAAGGCCAGCATGAGATCCTGTCTGAGAAAACAACAAACAGAAAATAAAGGGGAAAGAGAGATGGTGTGTGTGTGTGTGTGTGTGTGTGTGTATTAATGGAGAAGAGAGGTCAGATCATAGCCAGGCAACAACGTGTACTCAACAGCAGAGGACTCCTTCCACCTGAAGCAGGCCTAGGACAGGTGGTGGGATCTCCACAGTGGCTGCGCCTTAAGGACCAGTCAGACCTCGGCCTCTACTGTTTGCTATATTAGTCACAGGCCCACCATTAAAGTTCACACATCCTGGCAAAGGAAATAAAATCCGCACAGGAGCAAGATCTCTAATCATGTGTAAACCTTCCGCACTGAAAGAGATCTGCCCTGAAATCCCTTTTTTACTATTATTTATGAATTTGACACAGAATACCTTCTTAGCAAATACTTAAACTGTGTGCCTGGACGTATAATTTTTTTCATTAATTCATTATTTATTTAAACTCTTAAATAGATGCCCACACACGGTGTTTTGGGGTTGAAGCAGGGAGAAGAAATATCAGATATCTCAGAGAAGTGGGCTATGCTAAGTGAAGAATTCTTGTGTCTCGGGGCTGGAGAGATAGTTTATTGGTGGTCTCAGCAAGCAAGTGAAGAAACCAGCCACTAGACCTAGTGGAGCCTGGAATGCCGGAGGTGTAGTGGGGAGGGGGGAGGCGGGGCTCCAAGCCCACATTGATTGGCCAGTTCGCCCCCTGTCGCCGCTGCACAGGTTCTGGCACACAGTCAGGAGGAGGCGCTCCCGGGCACGCGCACGCATTTGCGGCTCCGCCCGCCGTCCCTCCGAAGCCCACCGGATGGAATCTTTAGGTCCTCTCGACAACCTTCTTTGGCGGACAACCTTCCCGACGGCTCCCGCCTCAGCCCCGCCCCTATGGGCTCGCCAATCGCTGTGCGCTTACAGCAGGAGTGGGTGGAGCCTAGGAAATTCGAACGAAGCTCCGCCTCTCGGGAGCATATTCCCGGGAACTGGGAGGTTGTAGAAGAAAAGCATCCTGCGTGGACGGTGAGGCGGGGTGGGAAGTGGAAACGGAGTGTGCGCCGGAGGTGTGGCAGGGATGTGGTGCCGGGAAGTGGAAAGGTGGCGGGAGGCGGGGGAAGAAAATCCCGGATAATAACCAGGAGGGAGGTGGAGTGTGCAGCCTGCAGCCTGTGCAGATTGTCCATTAGGTATTGGGACACGAGTGCTCTGCACCTTTCCCGAAAATAACGGGCTGGTTTCAGGGGCACGTGCTGTTCCTGGGATCTTGCTGTACCACCATCACGCCTCCCCACCCCAGATAGATAATGCACTCTGAGTCTAGATGGGGGCCTAGGGCAGGATGATAGATACCTGAGGTAGGCATGTTGTCTTTCCTGCTCAGGTCTAAGCTGCCTCGCTTCTGCTGGCTGGGCATGGAGGATTTGAAAGAAGGTAAGGAAGCATGGAGGGAGGAATGCGACCCAGAGAGGTTGCAGGGACTGATGGCTGGCATTTATTCTCATCCCCTCAGATGTCAAATTCATTGTGGATGAGACCTTGGACTTTGGAGGGCTGTCCCCATCTGACAGGTACCAGCCACTTTATCGCATTTATTATTTTCCTCCAACAATACGTCTTTAGCAATAACCCTTTAGTGTTAACTTATTGGCCTCTAGAGCCGGGGTTGGTAATTTAGCAGGGTATAGTGCACTCTGATGCCAGCATTCTGGAGAAATTGGGCCTCCAGGACACAACTTGGATGCTGGTGAGAAGGGAGAAGATGGAGTGAAAACTAGGGGTTAATGTAAATGAAAGGTAAACATGCTTGGGCATGTTGAGGCATGCCCATGGAATGCATCAGGTGTGAAGACCACCCCTTCCCTCCCAGGATAGACCAGAGGAGGTAGAAGCAGAGAAGACTGTGAATTTGAGATCATTCTGGTCTACAGAATTGAGACCTTGTCTCCAAAAATGGGGAGCGGGGATGAAAAAGAAAATAGGAGATGCTAAGGGCTTGCAGGGCCCCAGTAGAACCAGGTATCTCCTTACCTAAAGGCAGGGTTTGGATTGTCCCTGGCTCTACTACAGGAGTGCCTTCTGCTATCTTTTGTGTGGCATGGTGCCATATTTGTTTTCTCAGTCATGAGGAAGAAGACATAACGGTATTGGTGAGTCCAGAGAAACCACTTCGACGGGGCCTCTCTCACCGCAGTAACCCGAACACAGTAGCTCCCACTCTCCAGGGTGTGAGGTTCAGTTTGGGCCCGCTCAGCCCAGAGAAGCTGGAGGAGATCCTTGATGAAGCCAACCGCCTGGCAGCTCAGCTAGAGGAGTGTGCTCTGCAAGACCAGGAGAGTGCAGGTGCAGGCCCTGGGAAGCCCAGCCCCAGAGGCAAGCCCAGCCCTCGGAGGGAGACCTTTGTCCTCAAGGACAGCCCTGTCCGAGATCTGCTGCCCACTGTGAGCTCTTGGAGCACACCATCCCCAAGCAGCCTAACTGGACTCCGAAACAGTGACAAAAAGGGGTCAGCCAGGGCTGTTCGAGTGACAGCTGGAAAGAAGCCTCCCAGCACAAAGAAGGTGAGTATGGAGAGTGGAATTGTGTGTGTCCCTAGACAAGATGCCTGAGACACTCACTGAACGTAGGCGTAGAAGTGGCTTCCTCACTGTTTAGAGGGAGAAAGTTATACTACCTCTGGAACTGTTGGGATTAAGCAAATTGGGTTGCAGACGGAACAGGGTGAATAGTGTTTGCCGAGAATAAATAAAGCCCTGGGTTTGAACCCCAGCATCATGTAAATGGATGTGGTAAACATAAATGTGTAAGTAGACACATAATCCCAAGACTCTGGAGGAAGAGCCTGGAAGATCAGGAGTTCAAGGTCATCCTTGAGGGACTATGTGCTGAGTGGGAGATCAGCCGGGGCCACAGGACTTCCTTGTTTCAAAAACTAATAGGCTGGTGAGATGGCTTAGTGAGTGATAGCACTTCCTACCAAACCGAATGAACGTAAATTCAAACCCTGGGACCTACATGATGAGAACTGACGCTCACCAGCTGTCTTCTGACCTCCACATGTGTGTTGTTATATATGTGTATGTCACACACAATATATAATACAAAATGACTTCAAAAAAAAGAGAAAGTACCTACCACAGATCGTGTTGGCAGCTAGTCTCTTCCTCGCTGGTCCCAGACAACGGCCTGCCTCCTACTTCTTTTCCTTAATGTCTTAAGCCAGCAGAGTGCATGCTGTCTCCATTTTAGTCCTTTTTTTTTATTCCTTGCTCTGTTTCAGGAATCGCCCACTTGCAATCTGTTCCCTGCACCCAGAAGCTCAGCGCTCTCTCCTCTTGCACAATCAAGTCTTTCCTCCCGGCGGAAAACTGGGCCCAGTGCACGAACAAAAGCAAGTAAGAGCCAGGAGCCAAGATGTGGGTGAAGCTGGTATGGGAGAGAGAAGGTGGGACTCACCCCAAAAATGTCTTTTCTCCTCTGCACAGGCCCACCAGTCCCTGTCAGACCGGTCCCAGCTCCACAGCCCTCAACTAGCAACTCTCAATGTTCATCCCGGCTACAGAGAGCAGCTGCCAAGTCTTCCAGTCAACTACTGGTCCCCTCAGCCATCCCCAGGCCTGCCACTCGAATGCCACTCACTGGCCGGAGTGTACCATCTGGCAAAAGTGCCCTACCTCCAGATTCTCTCTCAACTCGGAAAGGGCTTCCAAGTGCCACAGGTCACAGAGGTAAGGTAGAATGGATGTATGGTCAGACCAGGTATGGTGGCCATATCTGTAATCTTCCTTGGAAGGTAGAGGCTGGAGAATCAGAAGTTCAAGGCCAGCCTTACCTATATAAAACCATGTCTCAAAAAAAAGAAAGAAAGAAAAGAAAAGAAAATAGACCTGGGCATGATAGTGCACGCCTTTAATCCCAGCTTTTGGGAAGCATAGGCAGACAGATTTCTGAGTTCAAGGTCACCCTAGTCTAAATAGTAAATTCCAAGACAGTCTTTCTCTTTTTTTCTTTCTTTAAAGACTTTCCTTATTATTTATATATATATGTGTGTATGTATATATATATACATACACACATATATATGTATGTATATATGTGTGTATATATATATGTATGTATATATGTGTGTGTGTATATAGTGTTCTACCTGCATGTTTGATTGCATGCCAGAAGAGGGCACCAGATCTTATTATAGATAGTTGTGAGTTACCATGTGGTTGCTGGGAATTGAACTCAGGACCTCTGGAAGAGCAGCCAGTGTTCTTAATCTCTGAGCCATTCATCTTTCCAGCCCCAGAGAGACCCAGAAGAGAAAACATTAGGTAGAAGGACACCTGCTGTGATGCTGTCATTTTTGCCACCCCACTTGCAGACAGGAAAACTGGGTTCAGCAGGCACACACTTTCACGCAGTCTTTCCTTTGGAGAAGGCCAGCTGAACCGTGCACTGATTCATCTCTTGTTAATCCCCACCAAGCTCCTGTTTCCCAGAGAACCAATCTTCCAACCCCCAGTGCCCCTCGAGGCAGGATGCAGTCCCTCAAGAAAGCTGCAGTCCCTGGACCAACTAGGTAAGACTGGTCCCTCTGCCCTCATCAGCTTGGCTTCCAGCTGTGCACAGCATCCTTGAACTATGTGTGTGGGGGGGGGGGGAGGAGAGAGGGGAGGGAGGGCCTACCTTTTCCCATCCTGAGGGGCTTGAACTTGTCTGGGTTCCAGATGGGCATGAGAGAAAGGGCATGCTGAAGCAGTTCCCCTGTCTGTCTCCTCAGGTAAAAAAGTCAGGACAGCAAGCACATATTGAGTAGCAAACCACTACACTACCATCTTAGCCATTGAAGACTGGACACTCTCCAAGCAGTCCTTGACTCCAGCAGATTCTTGCCCAGAGATGGGAGGCAGAGTTGCCTCCAGAGTTCATCTCTGAAGTAGAGACCATGGAGGGTGAGGTGGGTTGAGCTTGAGGAGAGTAAAATCCCTCCCATCCCCTCCCCCACCTTGGCTGCAAGGAGAAGGAGAGGCCACTTGGTGGTAGAGAAATTCACAAACATGAGAAATGCAGGCAGAATGACTTGGCTCCTTCCATCCCCACTTGTGGCCAGCCCTAGAGAGCTTGACCTTCTTCCCAGACCATGCTTCACCGGCCATTCACAGGTGAGCAGCCTATGGAACCAGCCAGGCTCCCTGGCTCTAGGACAGGTCTTCCTGAATAGTTCCCTCTGCTGGATTCTGTTTGGAGAGGCCAGGCAGGTACCTGGCATGCAGGGCTTGCTTCCTGTGACTTCTCACAGGCCAACCAATGAGAAGCTTACTCATCAGTCTGCATTTTTTTCTTAAATAAAATGAATTTTTTAAACGTATTTTTCTGTATGTCTGAAAGTAGATCTTCGTAGTTTTGAAGTAAACCTCTGTGTAATTGTAACGAGAGCTGGGATGGACCACTAGGTGCTAGGGCTCATCCGGCTGTGACTAGTTCCTTGTTGCCATTCATTTGGAATCAGGCTGCCTTTCTGCAATTTCATGTTTTCGGACAGTCTACATCAAAGTCAACTGTAGTGTCTGAGGCTGTTATGATATGACCTAAGTCTATTGTTACTATCTTAAACTTGAATGTTATTTCTGACAAGACAGTGGAGTCCTTAAGGCAATAAAGAGGCCCTTTGGTAATGTTCATCTTCCCTGGTCACTTCAGCCAGAAGATACCAGAACTCCTAGTCATGACTACCTCACATCATAGAGCTGCTTGTCCTTCCCTGTCTGCTCCTCTGCTGGACTTGAGAACAGCATCAGAATTAAAAGATGGCGCCGTTGTGTTGGGATTCATACGTGGTAGAGTGCTGACCTCCTCCAGAGGTAGTCCACAGTGGTGGGCACTTTTGAAATGATAAGGCTCTAACAAACCCAGCTTCTGGGCTCCTGAGTCTTGTAGCCTTGACTCTTGCAATCAGAACTAAATTGATTCCTTATGAGGAAGAAACTTCCTCAAAGGCAACTGAGCAATGGAAAAGGGGACCGCTGGCGACTATCTCCACCCAGGCCTTCGTGTCCACAAGTGCCCTCCTTAGGCCTCAGTGCCCCTCCACCTCCCCACCCCCATATTCAGGAGCCCTCCATAGCTTTCCTCTTTCATGGCTGACCTTAAGGTTCATTCATTTTACACACCTTTAAGCACACAGGGCCCACACACAGCGGTGGCCACCTCTACCTTCTTTCCCTGAGTCTTGAGCACCAGCTCCTACAGTCACTGAGATCCCAAGAACTGATGTGCGGGAAGGAGACTACACAGAGGCCTTGTGTTTTGTCCTGGGGAACCTTGGCATGAGGCAACAAAGCCTCAGGTGTGTTTCCCAGCCTCCTGCCTACCTCATCTTCCTTCAGTCAGCCTGGCCCAGGGCTCTGTGCTAATGAGACTTTGGGAGAGTTCTGCTAGGTGGGCCATAGAGAGGGCAAGCTTACCAACCAGTCAGTAGCTAAGTCCCCTTGATCTCCTGGAGTCTTCGAGACTTTGCTTGTCCTGTTTTCCATTCTGGACCTCCATCCTCTGGATAGGTCAAGGCACAGACTCAGAACAGAAGCAGCTGGTGACTAAAAACACACATCTAGGCATGGCCAGCAGGTGGCAGGCTTTTTTGATCCAAGTCCCTATGGGTGGTGAGGAAGCCAAGCCAGCCGCAGACCCCTGTGCCGTTGCCACCTGGTGGCTGGAGCTGGCAAGGCGTGTTCCTCTCTCAGGCTGCCTCCACCCAGCATGGCTCCAAACCTGCTGAAGTGGCATTCATTTGGTAGTGCTTACTTGCCACAGCTGCTTTTCTTGTTCAGCTATCTGCCTGCCTCATTCCCTTTAGCCTGGATCTCTATTTTTCTGTCTGCATACTGTCTGCCCACCACCCCTCCCACTCCTTAAGCAACAACTGAGAAAGCAGGTGCTATTGGCCTCTTGCTATGCACTGTGAACAGTTTTAAGCACTTTGCATGTGTTAAGTTATTTAATCCTCATAAAAGCTCAATTAGGCAGATGCTGTTACCACTGGCCTCATTTTGTAGACCTAGGAACTAAGGCTCAGACAAATTAGGCCACCTCTGGTTCTGGGGTTTGTTTTTAACTTCACCCTATACTGCCCCCACTAATTTGTCGCATGGACCTTTGACCGACAAAAAAAAAAGGGGGGGGGGCTAGCAGCGATGTTAGCAAGCACATACTTACCCCGGAATGAGTATATGCTTCAATCCCCAACAGAACAAATAAAAAACGGCCCACGGATCCCCACCTGCCACCCATCCCTCCCTAGCTTCTGAATTCTGCCCCAGAAAAGTTTGTCCTGTCTGAGACACAGCCTGATCTGTAGAGTCACTTGGACCATGCCAGTTCTATATCCTGGGGAAAAATGATCCCCTCCTACCCACCCACCTTATCGTCCTTCAGGCAGCCAGGCTCAGGGCGCTGTGCTGACACAGCTTTAGTCTCATTGTCCTCCAAGGGAGTTTCAAGGCTTTACCTATCCTGCTTCCCAAAACCCTGGCCTCTACCCAGGTTGCAACACAGAAGCGACGATGATGACGACGACGACGATGACGACACAGCGCCTGCACAGGACTAGTTTATTCAGTAGTATTGGGGGGGGGGAACCAAGAACAAAAGCAAAACTCTACCATATTTACAGCAACAGTCAAACTGTACAATCTGATGGTTAGTGTCAAGTGAGCTTCCAGCATCTTTGTATTTAAGTCAAGTCATCAGTAGTTTAAAAAAAAATTCAGTTAAATTTTTAACCCTTTACAGGAATTGCTGAGGGGAGAGGGCAGAGGGCAGTTGAGAATCCTCGGCAGAAAAGCCAGAGGCCAAGTGAGGAACAGTAACATCTTTCCTGCCCGGAGCCTTGGTTCTAGCCACCTGCTTCAGAAGGGAAGTCAGTGACAAGTCTGGGGTACATGCTTAGAGAAAAAGGCGACTCAAATGAACAGCGGTTGTCAAAAACTGAGGGAAGTAGAGCAAGAGGAAGGGGGTAGGCCCCAAATCCAGGTCGCCAGACACTCACCCAGCCTGCAATGGCCGCATCAGACCCCCTGGGACTGGACACAACCCCATCCCAACACAAAAAGCAAATAAATAAAAATATATATTAACTCTCTCTTCACGGGGAGCTGGGGTCAAGTAGGAGGACAAGGAACAGGTTCTTTGAAGAAGAGAGCCAATTCCAGGAAGGGGTTAAAAATAGAACATGTCTCAGAGGCCACAGCAGCTCAGACAAAAGGGCATTCGTCTGATTTGGGAGGGAGGGGTGAGTGGGCACCAGAACCCAGACTGGAAACCCGCGCTTGAGGCCCCTTGGGGCCAGCAAGCGGGCTCTGTGCTTCTTCTTCCTCCTGGTACCACACACACAGCAAAGAAGCGCAACTTAACGGTGACTGGCCCTCCTGAAGGTCGGGCAGGAGAAACGAAGCACTTTGGGGTCAGCAAACTGAGCAAACACCTGGGCTGCAGCCCACGGCCATAGTCCAGGAAAAGGAGAGGGGCTGGGGTAGTCATTCCCCGTGTGGGGGTACAGGCTTCCCCTTAAAATGGTTCATGCAGCATTTGGGGGTCCAGGGGCGATGAGTCCTCCTGCCCCTGGCCGGACAGGGCTTTTCAGTTTCTGGGAGAGGCGAGGCGGAATTGGCGGGTGGGAAATGCCTTTTTTGTCCTGACCCCTCTCCAACTGAGGCCTGTCCGGTGCAGCCTTGTAGGGACTCATGCCCCTGGTGCGTGTGGCTTTGTCCTGTCCTTTTGGTGATGGCAAACGAGGGGCAGGCCCCCTCAGAGTCCCTCTCCTCCCAGAGGCACAGCAGATGGGAAACTGAAGAGAGGCTGGGACACGTCCTGGGAGGTCCTATCCTCTTTGGGAAGGGAAAGGGAGTCCAGTTCCAACGTATAAAAAAAAATTAATCCCTGAAGTCATGAAGAGTGGAGATCCTTTTTTTTTTTTTTTTAATTCTTTTTTTTTTTTTTTTCTGAAAAACTTTGTCTTGGAGATGTTGGCCCCAGGGGTCCAAAGTGCAGTGAGGGGGAGGTGGGGGAGGGACTTGGCACTAGATGGCCTCAGGTGCAAGGCCCGGGCTCCTCAGATGGACGTTTCATCGCTGCTTCGGCAGGCAGTGGGGAGCAGGGGCAGGGTAAAGCAGAAGACAGGAGCAGAGCATGAGCGCAGCAGGGGAAGGGAGGGAGCTTCGAGACAGACGAGGAACACCGAAGGAACACCGGCCCAGGGTTAATGCAGGAAGTTAAAGAAGAGAAATCTGGAGAGGCAGGAGAGGAGAGTGGCAGAGAAGGCAGACAGAGGGTTAGCTGGAGCAGCAGAGAAGACAGTGAGCAGCTTCCACCAGAGAAAGAGACAGAAAAGCAGCCCCAGCTCCCACCCTCTCGTGCTGCCCAGGACTGGGCTACAGCACTTAAAGTCCAGGGGGTCTGGTATATTCCCCCCAACAGAGCACCATGGTGTCAGGGAACACAAGGGAGCAGGACCCCACTTAGCCTGTCTGTCTTCCAACTGCCTGACAGAGTAGCTCAATGAAGCTCAGAGGCAGCTCTGCCCCAGCCA